GAAATTCATTAAAAACAGTAGAAACTATGCTCAAAAAAATAACAATAGTGAAAATGAAACAATGAACCTCAACGAACGTCCAAAATTCAAAAAATAGATTTAAAAAATTTGGTCAATAATATTGATTTTGCACTATAAAATTTGATTAACGGCAGTTTGCATCATAATAAATTTGAAATTAATAATTAGCGATGTCTGTTTTGCATCATAATGAATGATCTACATGCGGAATTATATCATATGGTATGTAAAAATCTTAACTCTTTCCAAAAATAGATAAATTTTATCTTAATAATGGCATCATTATACTATCAATAGGATAATAGTAACCTGCAAAAACCAATGAATAAAAAAATTAACATAAGTAACGAAAACGGAATAACGGTCTTATTTTTCATGTTACATTTAGAGATGCAAAATCGGCTGATCGGCTCTATTAATTATTATACTCTACATACAAGCCGATCAACCGATTTTGCATCTCTAGTTATAATAGTACGTTAGCCAAAATATATTATACACAAATGAAACCTGCAAATAAATTCCATACCTAATGCAAACTGCTATATAAATCACACGAATTACTCATCAATCCAATATAAATTATTTTAAAAGTGTCACGGTGAGAACCAGTATGCGGGTAATTAGTGCGTGGGGTAGTTTCGAATCGATCGATCGTCACGTGATCACGTGACGATCGACCAGAATCGGAATCAGTTATCGATCATTCAAGGGAACAATGCGCAGGATTAATATACGGTGCATGAATAATGTCGTAATAGAGTTGATAGACAATGGCGTGATTAGTAATAAGCAGGCAAAATGGCGTGATTAAATAATTAGGTAGTTAATGATAGTTAAAATTTGTATTTAAAGCAAAAAGCGAAATAAAGTTAATAAGTAAATTTTAGTATCTGCAAAAATAAAAAGTCGATAAAAGTAAATAAGCGAAATACTCACCCAAGTCGAAGCAGCAAAGTATCGAGGTTGTTGACGGTTGGAGAAGTGCTTACTCTTGAGCTAGGTTGTTAGTAACGAGAGTTCTATTAACCCGCGACAAAAGAATTAATCAAAAAATTCGTTACATCAAGTCTTTATATGGCAATATACATTTAAGCCTTATTCTCAAAAGTCTTAGTCAAATGCATTAATATATAATAGTAATCTTAATACATGCTGCAATAATGATATCAATTATTTAATAGGAATATTATAACTACCAAAATTGTACAAATGAAAACCATAATTTTACTAAGGAAGGATTTGAAAATCAGTAAGCGACATCAAAAAAGATGAACGAAACCATCCCTATCATATTTCATGTTACACATTCATGTGATCGTACTGGTATACGACAATACGATTGATTGACGATAGTCACATCACACTATTACTATCTACTCTATATACTATATCTACCAGATCTGGCGTATCGGTATATCGTATATCTACTATATGGCATATTATTACATATGGTAGGTATGGCCAAGACCAATTTTGGACAAACGAACCAAGCCACCTTGTGTCGATTTACCCTTCGTACGTACGTACGTATAATGTACGCCTCCGGTTGGTTAAAGTATTCAGTAAAGTAATGCAGTACGGCGGTACAGACATACGAAATTCGAAAATTATAATAAAATTTGAGAATATTCTATAGAATAAGTGAGCAATATAAGAAATAAGGTTCTCTAATGATTGATAATCAATTAATTTTTTAATAGTGGAGTTGCGGAGTTTGCGGAGTTTGTCCGCCTATTCTATAGAACATCACTGTAGACCATACACTCCATTATGGTAATGCCGTACAACCATCTCGAACAATAATGAATAAATAAATAGGAGACGATTGTAGCACAAACAACTTTAACGTTTGTATCGTTTGCAATTCTGAAAGCGTTCCGAAATTGCTTATAGGTAATATGAAACCCTTAAAAGACAGTCAAAGATGTCACAAAGATGAAGCAGATCAAATTAGTAGACGGAAAAACAGAGAAAATGAAGTATTAAAGGCCATCATTAATATTGAAGATTCAATGAATGTTGATCTTTGCTTCGTTCTGGATTGTACAGGCTCTATGTCTGCTTATATCGAAGCAGCGAGAGAGCATATATTAAAAGTTGCTAGTTACGTAAACAGCAATAATTCAAATATCGAATTCTGGGTCGGTTTCTGTGGTTATCGTGATCACTGTGATGGTAGTGATCGCTTACAAATTTTTGATTTTACTAACTCTCTCGAGAAATTCAAAGCGTATCTAACCAACAAAGTGAAGGCTAAAGGTGGTGGTGATGCACCAGAAGATGTCTTAGGTGGTCTTAATGCTGCGATAACTCAGATGACATGGAGCAATGCCACCCGTGTTCTTATTCA